TTTATAATGGCAAATGATACTTTGAATATTACATGTTAATAACTTGATTGGAATTATAACCTTGAGTTGACAGTTTGATACTTTGAAAATTTTGAGCCAGCCCTACCCCCAAGGGCTATAGGGTGGGGCTCAAGGGAGTCAGTGTGCTAAAAAAAATTCATTTTCCTTGTTTAGAATCAGAGGTGCTAGTTTCAAAACCTTTTTAGTCTGAAATCTGTATGCTTGATATTGAATAAGGTGGTTTTATTGCTTTTTGTCACTTTGAATAATATTTCTGTTCATGTTAAAAATGAAATCAACTCTCTGTATAAATATATCAGGTGACCGTTAAGGCCCATGGGCCTCTTGTTTAATATTGTCGTCATTCTCAAAGTAAGATTTATAGACTGAATTTTCTTTAAATGTAAAATTGAAAATTTTGCATGTATTTAAAACAATTACTGAATGAGATTGTAGAAAACCTAAATCTGGAACATTTTGTTGAAATTTAGGGGAGTGCACAGAAGGACCTTGTGCAGGTTATTTAGTGAATTCTGTAAACTCAATATATATATATACATATGGTTTAAATAACCTTTTGGTTACAGTTTATATTTAGTTTAGCCTGGAGTGAATACAGACCTTGCCTGTTCTGTCAAGACCTTGCCCGTGGGAGCTACATAGAGCATCTAACACACTACACCTAAATATATAACGGCTCCAACACAGCTTGGCCAGGTTGCATAGGCACACAACGTTTTTTTCTGCATTTTTTAAAGAATTTTCCAATAATGTATTACTGATAGTATTCTGAATGGGAATTGGAAGCGCTAAACAAAGCGTAGCTGAATCTAGTCATTTCGGTACATATATAACAACTATTGTACATACGCTTACAGCGTAGCCGAATCGACATTGATTTTGTGGACAACTCGTACACATTTTACACCTTTGTGTGCATGCACTGGTCATTTGTCTGATGAAGGTGGCATGCAGTGTACATATCTTACTAGTCATTGAAACATCACATGGAAAATCTTATTGGTCGTGTAAAAAGAACTTTTCATAATTTGAAAAGTATGTTCTAATGAAATTAAAATGACGGCCTAATACTCCGAAAGAACCAAAGTAGATGATGTTGTATACTTGTTCACTTCATGAATATATATATAGGTATTTAAAATTGTTTTCTTACAGACTTTTGAAGAAATCTGATACCAGAATCCAAACAGGATGGCTGAACCATGTCATAGATGTACAAAACTGGTGTATCATGCAGAAGAAGTTCGTGCCTTAGGAAGGAAGTGGCATAAACTCTGCTTTAAGTGTGGTGAGTTATCACTGCGGGTCCCTTTGCAGGGGTCTATCAGGGAACGTTTTTGGGTCCATTGAAAGGACCCATTCTCGATTGAAAAAGTGTAGGATTTTTTGATTTTTTCCCATTTTGCCCTTTTCAAATTTGCATTTGGACACCAAAATATAATGCCTAAATATAGATAAATTCCTCACAGTTGACCGAGTTCTAAGAAAACAGCACAAGTGGGAAGGACAAAATCAATATGTTGTCATTATAAGTCTAAATGTCATAAACCTCCAAACCCAATATGGTTCAAATGCTGTTGGCATTTTCCCAATTTTTCTCTGGGCCTGTATCTGAAACCCCCCCCCAATACACCCCTGCTTTGGTATATCAATATGTATAGTGGAAGGATGAACCCTGACATTTCAATATGAAAGATAAACCATCCATCCAATATGATATCAATGTTTTGATACAGAAAAAAACAAAGATAAAAATGGCCTACGTTCATTTGGGAATCAGTCTGTTCTAAGATTCGTTTGAGTAAGAATCATAGAAGTCTATATGTTATGGTGAATATTGGTATAACTGTAATTGTACGTTAGTATTAATTAATTGCAGCACCGTAACCTCAAATCTCAAAATAAGCTTGATTTGAAAATTCGAGCTCATATTAGAAACATATATATGTTAGTTGTTCAAGCTGTCCCTTAAAATAAAACTTAGCTTTTATCGCAATGTCTAGGATTGCATTAGAGGTCAAGGTCAATTACAATTAATCATTACAAGGTATACACATAATTCACTTTCATGGTGAAATAATGTTTCATCAATGGGTAGTCTGGTGGCGCAATGGATAACGCACTTGTCTTTCACAAAGGTGGCTGGGGTTTGATTCCGCAATGGGACGTGAAAAGGTATGGATTCACGTGCCTGACCACATGGGTTTTCTCTGTGTACTCCAGTTTCCTCCCACATTAAGACCCCTAGCGTGCTAATTAATATAACTTGTAATTACTTGTTTCGTAATTGTGGTAAAATAAACAAAGTTTATATATGTTTCATCTTATGTTTTTTAGCCCATCATATTAATAATAAATATACATCTAACTGACATTTTATCTGACCAGATAAATTGGCCAAAAAGAAAGCAAGTTTTACTGAATCCATGAGATAAGAAATCATATTTTCTGGGTGAATGTATCAGTCAGATAAACCCTTGCAGAGTTGAACAGGACAAGAACATGCTAAATAAGTAAAATATACAACTAATTAGCAATGTTCAGCCTTGTTCCACATATCGGCTCTCACTGATAAAGCAATTAAATAATCTTCATTTTTACGATATCGGTATTGGTATCTTTATGAATGATAAATATCCGGTTTCAAATTACAAAATGTTTGCACATGTATCTTACTTTTTGATTTCAAGGTAGGAATAGAAATTTGTTTATGTTAATAGTTTATCCTGGAGATAAAATGCTGCTAATTTTAGAATAATTTGTTTAACTGTTTTGATTTCTCTACATTCTTGTACATAACGTGAAAGAAATGAAAGTGAATTTTCAGACATTTAAAAACTTTTGTCTGTAAATTTTGAGATACACATCTAAAATTAACAGCACTATTCCAAGTATGCATTTTAACTTTATATCGTTAATCATCTGATAAAGAGAAAGACGTGGGGCTAATGCCAAAGTGGAACGTTCTTTGATGTGAAAGTGAGCTACTTATATCAAGGTGAGATAGACCTGATATGACTCATCCTTGTTTTCCTTGTATCGGTCTGTCCTCAGCCTGATGATAATGTACAGCTCTATGGGATAGGCCAGGGTAGTGGTGTGTATAAAGGCATATCTGATAAATTCATAACTGTGAATATTTATATTAATTTCAACATTACATCATTAACAAACCATCCCTGTCTGTCATTACTTGAGGCTAGTTTTCTTCACCTGTTCGGGAACTGGGAAGGGGGTTGGTGGGATAGAGAGATTGCTTGGGAGATGGGAAGGACTTGGTTGGATTCAGATGGTGATAGTTAATTTGGAAAATTGGAAGGTGTTTGTTCGGGAGATGGGAAGGTTTGTTTGCATACAGATGGTAATATAATTTGTTGGAAATGGGAAGGTTGGGCTGAGTACAAATCTTGGTGATAGTGTTTATTTGGGTACAGATGGTGGTAGTGTTAGTTTGGGAATATGACGGTTTGGTACGGTACTGATGGTGGTGGTGTTAGTTTGGGAAATAAGACGGTTTGGTCGGGTACAGATGGTGGTGGTGTTAGTTTGGGAAATAAGACGGTTTGGTCGGGTACAGATGGTGGTGGTGTTAGTTTGGGAAATAAGACGGTTTGGTCGGGTACAGATGGTGGTGGTGTTAGTTTGGGAAATAAGACGGTTTGGTCGGGTACAGATGGTGGTGGTGTTAGTTTGGGAAATAAGACGGTTTGGTCGGGTACAGATGGTGGTGGTGTTAGTTTGGGAAATAAGACGGTTTGGTCGGGTACAGATGGTGGTGGTGTTAGTTTGGGAAATAAGACGGTTTGGTCGGGTACAGATGGTGGTGGTGTTAGTTTGGGAAATAAGACGGTTTGGTCGGGTACAGATGGTGGTGGTGTTAGTTTGGGAAATAAGACGGTTTGGTCGGGTACAGATGGTGGTGGTGTTAGTTTGGGAAATAAGACGGTTTGGTCGGGTACAGATGGTGGTGGTGTTAGTTTGGGAAATAAGACGGTTTGGTCGGGTACAGATGGTGGTAGTGTTAGTTTGGGAAATAAGACGGTTTGGTATGGTACTGATGGTGATAGTGTTAGTTTGGGAAATAAGACGGTTTGGTACGGTACTGATGGTGGTGGTGTTAGTTTGGGAAATAAGACGGTTTGGTCGGGTACAGATGGTGGTGGTGTTAGTTTGGGAAATAAGACGGTTTGGTCGGGTACTGATGGTGGTGGTGTTAGTTTGGGAAATAAGACGGTTTGGTACGGTACTGATGGTGGTGGTGTTAGTTTGGGAAATAAGACGGTTTGGTACGGTACTGATGGTGGTAGTGTTAGTTTGGGAAATAAGACGGTTTGGTAGGGTACAGATGGTGGTGGTGTTAGTTTGGGAAATAAGACGGTTTGGTCGGGTACAGATGGTGGTGGTGTTAGTTTGGGAAATAAGACGGTTTGGTCGGGTACAGATGGTGGTGGTGTTAGTTTGGGAAATAAGACGGTTTGGTACGGTACTGATGGTGGTGGTGTTAGTTTGGGAAATAAGACGGTTTGGTACGGTACTGATGGTGGTAGTGTTAGTTTGGGAAATAAGACGGTTTGGTACGGTACTGATGGTGATAGTGTCAGTTTGGGAAATAAGACGGTTTGGCTGAGTACAGATGGTGATATAATTTGAAGAGAAATAGAAAGGGGTAAAGTGGAGATGAGAGTGTAGAGTCGGGGAAGAATGTGCCAGACTTGAGAATGTGAAAGAGAACAGGAAAGATAACAATGGCGAGTGGAATGTTGTAAAGGAGAGAGTAGATTGTGGGAATAGAAGGGAAAACTATAAGAAAATTTGGAGACTGGAAGGAAAGTTGGGGGTGGGAGGAATCAGGGCTTAGTGAGAAAAAGGGACTATTAGAAGGAACAAATAGATTGTTAGAGAGATTGGAAATATCAGTACATTCGTAACTGTAATAGTTGTTTATTAATGACAATGATTACCTCTACTTCCACATATGATCTCCAAAAAATCTTGTTGATATTGGGGGAGGGGTTCAGCAAGCTTTTATTCGGTGTCAAGTGTTTATTCTGATAATTTGCATTAACTCATTCACCCCTGATATTTTGTAATAAAATATTCCAATCTTTGAATTGGAAGAATTAAAATGTGTCTACAGGGATGAATGAGTTAAGGAATTGGCTTTCAGAATATGTATACTTCTCGTGAAAACTGTGCTACCGTTCTCCCCTGCCTCCCCTGTGAACCTGCTTATGACTTACTGGTAGTTGATTTCTACCTTCCTTTCATTGCAATGCCTTAACCAATATACATGTAGATGGACACAGGACAAAAATCAATATATCATGGTTGCTAATTGGGTATCACTTTTGACATGTATTCCTCTTACATCGCAACAGTATAGTTACAATAATATCGTAAACAGATATTTGATAGGGAGATGAGCAGGTGTGAGAATACTCAGAATAGAAATTTGATATTTTTGAAAGCCAGATTAACAGGTGTAATACAGATCGAGGCATGTCAGACAGGTTTTAATGACTGATTGTAATGGTAGATAACACATTCATTTCTTCAAATGGTTCACTTAATAGAGGATATTTAAAGGGTGGTCATTGAGTACTGTATATGTTTAACAAGTGTGTCATTCAGTACAGTGCCCTAATGGACTATAGCTGGGGATAACAAAATAGAGTGTGACAGATGGACTTAAATGAAAACAATGGGGATGGAATGGGAAAGTCTGTTGAGAGGGATCGGAAGTAGAACAGTGGTCTTGAAGAATAAAACAAAGTTCTACTTGTTTGTTCCTTTCATTTTATCATTTTGATTAGCTCACCTGGCCAATAAGACCACAGGAGCTTTCAACATGATCCAGTATCCGTCATCATATTTAAAAAACAAGGATGTTTCATATCAGTTTTAACCAAATGTGGCAGCTGGGACTATCCTTTGTGGATTGGGATCAGAATTGTTAAAGTGATCCAGTAATTCAGTAAATATGTGTATTAGTATTAAATAGAAAGTGTTCGTGTTGGTTCCTGGTAGTTCCCTTGATAGCCAGATTTAGTGTTTGTGTTGGTTCCTGGTAGTCCCCTTGATAGCCAGATTTAGTGTTCGTGTTGGATCCTGGTAGTCCCCATGATAGCCAGATTTAGTGTTTGTGTTGGTTCCTGGTAGTCCCCTTGGTAGCCAGATTTAGTGTTCGTGTTGGTTCCTGGTAGTCTCCTTGATAGCCAGATTAAGTGCTTGTGTTGGTTCCTGCTAGTCCCCTTGATAGCCAGATTTAGTGTTCGTGTTGGTTCCTGGTAGTCCCCTTGGTAGCCAGATTTAGTGTTTGTGTTGGTTCCTGGCAGTCCCCTTGATAGCCAGGTTTAGTGTTCGTGTTGGTTCCTAGTAGTCCCCTTGATAGCCAGATTTAGTGTTCGTGTTGGTTCCTGGCAATCCCCTTGATAGCCAGATTTAGTGTTTGTGTTGGTTCCTGGTAGTCCCCTTGATAGCCAGATTAAGTGCTTGTGTTGGTTCCTGCTAGTCCCCTTGATAGCCGGATTTAGTGTTCGTGTTGGTTCCTGGTAGTCTCCTTGATAGCCTTATTAAGTGCTTGTGTTGGTTCCTGCTAGTCCCCTTGATAGCCAGATTTAGGGTTCGTGTTGGTTCCTGGCAATCCCCTTGATAGCCAGATTTAGTGCTTGTGTTGGTTCCTGCTAGTCCCCTTGATAGCCGGATTTAGTGTTCGTGTTGGTTCCTGGTAGTCTCCTTGATAGCCAGATTTAGTGTTCGTGTTGGTTCCTCGTAGTCCCCTTGATAGCCAGATTTAGTGTTCGTGTCGGTTCCTGGTAGTCCCCTTGATAGCCAGATTAAGTGCTTGTGTTGGTTCCTGCTAGTCCCCTTGATAGCCAGATTTAGTGTTCGTGTCGGTTCCTGGTAGTCCCCTTGATAGCCAGATTAAGTGCTTGTGTTGGTTCCTGCTAGTCCGCTTGATAGCCAGATTTAGTGTTCGTGTTGGTTCCTGGTAGAACCCTTGATAGCCAGATTTAGTATTCGTGTTGGTTTCTGGTAGTCCCCTTGATAGCCAGATTTAGTGTTCCTGTTGGTTCCTGGTAGTCCCCTTGATAGCCAGATTTAGTGTTCGTGTTGGTTCCTGCAGGTAGTCCCATTGATAGCCAGATTTAGTGTTCCTGTTGGTTCCTGTTAGTCCAATTTTCCAACGTGGTTCAAAATAAGTTACTAGACAGCATTACCTGTATAATGAGTAGCAGAACTGGACTGGGACGACCAGGTATAGCTCAATTGGTTAGTGACTTTCTCCTGTATAATGAGTAGAATAACTGGACTGGGGCAACCAGGTATAGCTCAAGTGGTTAGTGTCTTTCACCTGTATAATGAGAAGCAGAACTGGACTGGGACTACCAGGTATAGCTCAATTGGTCAGTGTCTTTCTCCTGTATAAGGAGTAGCAGAGCTGGACTTGGTCAACCAGGCATAGCTCAATTGGTTAGTGTATTTCACCTGTATAATGAGAAGCAGAACTGGACTGGGTCAACCAGGTATAGCGCAATTGGTTAGTGTCTTTCTCCTGTATAATGAGTAGCAGAGCTGGACTTGGTCAACCAGGTATAGCTCAATTGGTTAGTGTCTTTCACCTGTATAATGAGTAGCAGAACTGGACTGGGACGACCAGGTATAGCTCAATTGGTTAGTGTCTTTCTCCTGTATAATGAGTAGCAGAACTGGACTGGGTCAACCAGGTATAGCTCAATTGGTTAGTGTCTTTCTCCTGTATAATGAGTAGCAGAGCTGGACTGGGACGACCAGGTATAGCTCAATTGGTTAGTGTCTTTCTAGAGTTCTTAGGGTCCTGGTTCAAATCCAGATCTGGTGGTGTATTTTTCCTATCCTGTTACAGTGGTGCTTCTGATAAACACATGTTTCAAGTACTGGGTGACTGCTTAGCAAGGGTATACCCAAACCTGGATTGTAAATAGTGCTGTCTTCTGGGGTAAAGTCTTAGAAAAATCAAAGGAGAAATGTAGTCTTGTCTCGTCAACAAGGTGGCGCACACTGAGCGTTCAATTTTCCTATGACATATTCCAGGGGTGCAGAGAGCGTATGTGCATAACCCCTGGAGTATCAAGGATGGCTACAAAGCTACTGACCGAGGGAGAATAACTCATTTAATTTTATAGCTGCAAGTAACAACTTATTGTATATTACGACCTGTGTTATAATAACTTTTGTTTTACAGCTGAGTGTAACAAACTACTGGACAGCACTACCGGTACTGAACATCAGGGGGAGGCGTTCTGTAAGGCCTGCTACGGAAAGAACTTTGGACCAAAGGGATATGGCTTCGCAGGTGGTGCTTCAGGCCTTTCTGCCAACAGTACTACCAAGTATGGACAGTCGGATGGGTAAGAAATTCTGACAGTTAACAGTAATGTTATATGCAGTGCTTCAGGCCTTTCTGCCAACAGTACTACCAAGTATGGACAGTCGGATGGGTAAGAAATTCTGACAGTTGACAGTAATGTTATATGCAGTGCTTCAGGCCTTTCTGCCAACAGTACTACCAAGTATGGACAGTCGGATGGGTAAGAAATTCTGACAGTTAACAGTAATGTTATATGCAGTGCTTCAGGCCTTTCTGCCAACAGTACTACCAAGTATGGACAGTCGGATGGGTAAGAAATTCTGTCAGTTGACAGTAATGTTATATGCAGTGCTTCAGGCCTTTCTGCAAACAGTACTACCAAGTACTGAATGTTGTATGGGTAAGAAATTCTGACAGTTAACAGTAATGTTTTATGCGAACTACCAAGTATGGATAGTGGGATGGGTAAGATATCCTGACAGTTAACAGCTCTGTTTTGTGCGGACTGCGAAGTACGGAAAATTGGATTGGTAAGAACTTCTGACAGTAGTCAGTAATGTTTTATATGATGCTTCAGGCCTTTCTGCTAACCAGTATTACCAAGTATGGAGAGTGGGATGGGTAAGAAATTCTGGCAGTTGACAGTAATGTTCAATAGGGTTATTTTTTTTATTGACCTATACCATGAAATACTTTACTGATGACATAACAGGACAAACTGCACTACAGATTTTTAGGCAAGCTTTACCAACAGAGGTATGTATCCCAAGCTTTACAACACACATACGATAAATTCTTTAAATACCATTATTCTCTTGTATATTTGGGTATACATGTTTATATGATATGTGTAAGGCTCTGTACGTTTGGAAATGTTAAAGTTTGTGTACCTAATTTTGGGCACACACTCTCTGACTATTGGGGCTTGCTGTGTCCAGAGAGGATCATTTTGGGCAAGCTGTATCGGCTCCACTACGTCAAGCACCGGCCAGGTGGGCTGCACGTGATGCGTGTCTGCGTTGTGGACACACGGTCTACTACGCAGAGGAGGTTCGTGCGATGGGGCGCAAATGGCACAAAATCTGTCTCAGTTGTGGTGAGTCTGCCTTGTTATTAATAAATTGTTGTATTCAATATACTTACTAGAAACCTCAGAAATTTTCTTATTCAGTGACACATTTTTCAAGCTGTTATTTCTTTTTGCACATGTATTTCTTCTGCTGAAGATAAAGTTCATATTATTCAATGAAAATAAGATTCCCCCCCGCAAACAAATATTTAAAATTTGAAATTTGGTACAGAATGAAAATTAATTTTAGTGATTTGCAATGAAGTTTAATCTAATTGATGGTAATTAACAGTATTGTTGGTATATAGCAAAGTGTTTTATTTAATATTTTTAAGTCTTGGTGATATATGTATATAGTTACAGAAACTTGCTCCTGTTTCAGGGCATTGTGGGAAACCTCTGGATAGTTCCACTTGCACTGACCATGACGGCGATATCTTCTGTCGCAGCTGTTACAGCAAGCTTTTCGGTCCCAAGGGTTACGGCTATGCTGGGGGAGCAGTGCTGCTCTCCATGGACACGGGACGTCCCTACGAGATCACAATGGAGTAATGATATCATTAGCATTTTTGTTTGCATTTCAATATGTGTATATAGTGGCCTTGCTTAGAAGCTAGGGAGTTGAATTGAAAGAAGTTTGTCTGATTATAGTGCATTTGTACATATAAAGATTGACCTTAATTTTGATGGCATATACGGTGGTATGAACGAAGTTGGCAACAGAAATGTTCTAAATTAAACATGTTATTTTTTTTCCATTAAATAATTAATGCTTTACATTCTTCAACAAATCAGATTACATTCATGTGCTCTTTATAATACAAACTGTACCTGTCAGTTTCTTCACAAGGATGTTTTAAACTAATATTTGCAGAAGACAAAAGTTTGCAAATGAGTTTCTTGCCAACTGAAGTTTATTCCTTCAAACCTATGCAAGGATTATGACTACCATAGAATAAATATCGCTAGATTAAATTTCAAAGGTGTCACTTTTCTAGAATTAATGAATGCATTCAATTCAATTTCAACACACTGGCAGCACACAGTTGAGGGACGAACATAAAGTTATATAAAAGATCGGTTTCTGTCACAGTAATAAATGGAGTTTACAACAAACAGTATATGATACTATGTTTAAGTTTAAAAAATTGTTTTAATTTGAGAAATAACTAAGTTGTTGACTTGACAGGAGCATGTTAGTTAAGTCAGAACTGTACTGGTATTTGTCAGTTTGTTTTGGTCAGACCTTTGGTCAATGCATTTTGATACTGGAAGCAGTTAAAGTTAGCTTAGAAACCATTGTAATAACATGCATGATCCCCAAGTCTTTAGCTAGAACCCTGGCTACTGTATCTGACACAATTGAGATTTTAACATTCAGTTTTATTTCATATTTTGTACCAGAATTTTAACTCAATTTAGCAAACAGATTTGAAATCATCTGCATTTAGTAAATCATTTGTGCATTGTATATTTTGTTAAGTGTTGATAATGAATATATCCTACCAAAACTTTTCTCGTATTATAAAGTGCTTTATTACAGGGCTATTGTACCTTATTGTATTGTGTTTTGTTGGCTTGACGGGATGAAGTCTGATGTCATAGACTTGAATTTACAGAGTTTGGTTGATGGGTAGCTCATTGATAAGTAATTTTTAGCTCACCTGCCCGAAGGGCAAGTGAGCTTATGCCGTGGCGCGGCGTCTGTCCGTCTGGCGTCCGGTGTCAATATTTTATTTTAAACAACTTTTTCTCAATAATCAAAAGGCCCAGGGTACTGATATTGGGCCTGTAGCATGCTGAGATGAAGGGTTACCAATTTTGTTCAAATGAATGACCTTGACCCACTTTCAAGGTCACAGGAGTCAAATGTCTTAAAATCTTCCAAATGACTTTCTTCTCAATAACCAAAATGCCCAGGGTACTGATATTGGGCCTGTAGCATGCTGGGATGAAGGGTTACCAAGTTTGTTCAAATGAATGACCTTCATCTTTTTCAAGGTCACAGGGGTCAAATATGTTTTAAACCTTTAAACAACTACTTCTGAATAACCAAGAGGCTAGGATAATGTCATTTACAGGCTGGGATGAAGGACTACCAAGTTTGTTCAAATGAATGACCTTGATATATATTCAAGGTCACAGAGGTAAAATATGTTAAAAACCTTTAAACGACTTCTTAATAAGCAAAAGGCTAAGGGTGATGATATTTGGCCATTAACATGCTGGGATGAAGGACTACCAAGTGAATGACCTTCGCCCATATTCAAGGTCACAGTGGTCAATATATGTTTAAATCTTTAAATGATTTGTTCTGTATAACCAAAAGGTCCAGAGTAATGATATTATGAATCAAACACTGATATTTTGCCTGTAGCTGTATTTTAGTCCACTTTTAAGATTACAAGTGGGAGATTGATACCAGGTGAGCGATGCAGGCCCATTGAGCCTCTTGTTATGAGAATTTTTCAGATGAGTCCTGGACATCATATTCAAAATGCTGATGAGTCCCATTACTAGTAGATATAGTGGGGTTGCAAATATGTGCAAGCCCCACAAGAAAAGCCAGAGTCCAGAACTCAAATATATGTGTCCTAAAAATTATTGATTAATATTATGAAAGAACCTTTTGGGAAATCATCTCTATATACAGGTATGAGCTATAGAAATGGTTATTACTGACACAGAGGTTACGATTGACAGTAGCTATATACAGGTATTAGCTATAGGAATGGTTATTACTGACACGGGGGTTACGATTGACAGTAGCTATATACAGGTATTAGCTATAGAAATGGTTATTACTGACACAGAGGTTACGATTGACAGTAGCTGTATACAGGTATTAGCTATAGAAATGGTTATTACTGACACAGGGGTTAAGATTGACAGTAGCTATATACAGGGATTAGCTATAGAAATGGTTATTACTGACACGGGGGTTGCTATTAACAGTTACTATATACATGTATTAGTTATAGAAATGGTCATAACTGACACTGAGGTTACGATTGACAGTAGCTATAAACAGGTATTAGCTATAGAAATGGTTATTACTGACACAGGGGTTAAGATTGACAGTAGCTATATACAGGTATTAGTTATAGAAATGGTAATTATTGACACAGAGGTTACAATAGACAGTAGCTATATACAGGTATTAGCTATAGAAATGGTTATTACTGACACGGGGGTTGCGATTGACAGTAGCTATATACAGGTGTTAGCTATAGAAATAGTTATTACTGACACAGGGGTTACGATTGACAGTAGCTATATACAGTTATTAGTTATAGATATGGTTATTACTGACACAGAGGTTACGATTGACAGTTGCTTTATACAGGTATTAGCTATAGAAATGGTTTTTACTGACACTGAGGTTACGATTGACAGTAGCTATATACAGGTATTAGCTATAGAAATGGTTTTTACTGACACTGAGGTTACGATTTACAGTAGCTATATACAGGTATAAGCTATAGAAATGGGTTTTACTGACACTGAGGGTACGATTGACAGTAGCTATATACAGGTATAAGCTATAGAAATGGTTTTTACTGACACTGAGGTTACGATTGACAGTAGCTATATACAGGTATAAGCTATAGAAATGGTTATTACTGACACGGGGGTTATGATTGACAGTAGCTATATACAGGTGTTAGCTATAGAAATGGTTATAACTGACATTGAGGTTACGATTAACAGTAACTAGATACAGGTATTAGTTATAGAAATGGTTATTACTGACACAGAGGTTAAGATTGACAGTAGCTATATACAGGTATTAGTTATAGAAATGGTTATTACTGACATTGAGGTTATGATTAACAGTAACTATATACAGGTATTAGCTATAGAAATGGTTATTACTGACACAGGGGTTAAGATTGACAGTAGCTATATACAGGTATTAGCTATAGAAATGGTTATTACTGACACAGAGGTTAAGATTGACAGTAGCTATATACATACAGGTATTAGTTATAGAAATGGTTATTACTGACACTGAGGTTACGATAGACAGTAGCTATATACAGGTATTAGCTATAGAAATGGTTATTACTGACACAGAAGTTGCGATTGACAGTAGCTATATACAGGTATTAGCTATAGAAATGGTAATAACTAACAGGGTTATGATAATCAGTTACTATGAATAGATGGTTACTATGGACAGGTGCTAATTATACAGGGTGTAACTGTAGACAGATGGTAACTATGGACAGGTGGTAGTTATACAGGGTGTATTTGTAGACAGGTGGTTACTATGGACAGGTGGTAGTTATACAGGTTGTATCTGTAGACAGGTGGTTACTATGAACAGATGGTTACTATGGACAGGTGGTTGTTATACAGGGTGTATCTGTAGACAGGTGGTTACTATGGACAGGTGCTAATTATACAGTGTGTATCTGTAGACAGGGGGTTACTATGGACAGGGGCTAATTATACAGTGTGTATCTGTAGACAGGGGGTTACTATGGACAGGTGCTAATTATACAGTGTGTATCTGTAGACAGGTGGTTACTATGGACAGGTGCTAATTATACAGTGTGTATCTGTAGACAGGTGGTTACTATGGACAGGTGCTAATTAATACAGGGTGTATCTGTAGACAGATGGTTACTATGGACAGGTGCTAATTATTACAGGGTGTATCTGTAGACAGATGGTTGCTATGGACAGGGGCTAATTATACAGGGTGTATCTGCAGACAGATGGTTACTATGGACAGGTGCTAATTATACAGGGTGTATCTGCAGACAGATGGTCACTATGGATAGGTGCTAATTATTACAGGTTGTATCTGTAGACAGATGGTTACTCTGGACAGGTGCTAATTATTACAGGGTGTATCTGTAGACAGATGGTTGCTATGGACAGGTGCTAATTATACAGGGTGTATCTGCAGACAGATGGTCACTATGGATAGGTGCTAATTATTACAGGTTGTATCTGTAGACAGATGGTTACTATGGACAGGGGCTAATTATTACAGGGGGTATCTGTAGACAGATGGTTACTCTGGACAGGTGCTAATTATTACAGGGGACAGGTGCTAATTATTACATGGTGTATCTGTAGACAGGTGGTAACTATGGACAGGTGCTGCTAATTATTACATGGTGTATCTGTAGACAGGTGGTAACTATGGACAGGTGCTAATTATACAGGGAGTATCTGTAGACAGATGGTTACTCTGGACAGGTGCTAATTATTACAGGGGGTATCTGTAGACAGATGGTTGCTATGGACAGGTGCTAATTATACGGGGTGTATCTGCAGACAGATGGTTAATATGGACAGGTGCTAATTATACAGGGAGTATCTGTAGACAGATGGTTACTCTGGACAGGTGCTAATTATTACAGGGTTTATCTGTAGACAGATGGTTACTATGGACAGATGCTAATTATACAGGGTGTATCTGCAGACAGATGGTTAATATGGACAGGTGCTAATTATACAGGGAGTATCTGTAGACAGATGGTTACTCTGGACAGGTGCTAATTATTACAGGGCGTATCTGTAGACAGATGGTTGCTATGGACAGGGGCTAATTATACAGGGTGTATCTGCAGTCAGATTGTTACTATGGACAGGTGCTAATTATTCAGGGTTTATCTGTAGACAGATGGTTACTATGGACAGGTGCTAATTATACAGGGGGTATCTGTAGACAGATGGTTGCTATGGACAGGTGCTAATTATACGGGGTGTATCTGCAGACAGATGGTTAATATGGACAGGTGCTAATTATACAGGGAGTATCTGTAGACAGATGGTTACTCTGGACAGGTGCTAATTATTACAGGGTTTATCTGTAGACAGATGGTTACTATGTACAGGTGCTAATTATTACAGGGTGTATCCAGGTGGTTACTATGGACAGGTGCTAATTAATACAGGGTGTATCTGTAGACAGGTGGGAACTATGGACAGGTGCTAATTATTCAGGGTTTATCTGTAGACAGATGGTTACTATGGACAGATGCTAATTATACAGGGTGTATCTTCAGACAGATGGTCACTATGGATAGGTGCTAATTATTACAGGGTGTAGCTGCAGGCAGATGGTTACTACTGACAGGGGGTTGTTATACAGAGTGTATCTAGACAGATGGTTACTATTGACAGGTGGTTGTTTTACAGGGTGTATCTGTAGACAGGTGGTAACTATGGACAGGTGCTAATTATTACAGGGTGTATCTGCAGGCAGATGGTTACTACTGACAGGTGGTTGTTATACAGAGTGTATCTAGACAGATGGTTACTATTGACAGGTGGTTGTTTTACAGGGTGTATCTGTAGACAGATGGTTACTATGGACAGGTGGTTGTTATACAGAGTGTATCTGTAACATGATGATTTATAGGGCATGCTCATCTGTACACTCATTGTTATAACATTCTTAGATGATTTAATATTGTGCCTTGTACTTCAATACATATTAAAGGTCTAATTATTGATTCTAATAAAATGTCTACGTACTGTGGTATGTAATTGTTTATGGAATTATACACTGAAATTACTAATGATGTATATAGTGATGATAAAGTTCCAAATTAAAGGTTGATTATAAAGCGGATTTGTGTTTGTTATTAATCCAACTGACTGTGTTGTGTGTATAACTTAGAAATGCATTTATGTACTGACAATTGTTACTGATGTATGTCAACTGACATTCTTAAAGCATCTTGTTTGTCCTACAATCAATTTCTGTAGAACTGTGTTAGTCGGACTACATTATTCAAATTTAATATCTGTTTTGAAGTTTTGACAACCATTTTATCCCATAACTCTTGAGTAATGGAAAACTAACTTTTTGCTATATATTTTTGTATTTCAGGTTATGATTGATTGGAGTTTACATGTATTTGTTAACCCATTCACCCCTAAGTCACATTTAAACCATACCAAATCAAAGACTTGGCAAGTCAAATTTTAATATGTAGGGGTGAATGAGTTAATTTAAAAAAGGAATTATGCTGGAGTTCAAAAGGGCAACCAGATGTGACTCAGTTGTGATGTCACATATTATTGATAAAATTCAGAATCCAGACTCCTTGATGTTTCACATAGACAACAATGATTGTTGTATACAGCATGTCAATTTCATATAGTTTAAAGGTGTGGCATATGCAGTCTTATGCAAGCTAGCATGTTCCTCTTTAGTGCTACAGATCTTGTTGACACTTGCTGTACTAGTTTTCAAGTAGCTGACTGTCAAATGTTCTGTACAGATGACTAAAATTGTAAATCGAGTTAAAAGGTTAGTTGAATGTCTAACAAAGCTATTTTTTACCAAAAGAATAAAAAAATGATTAAAATATTAGCAATGTTAGGTTTGATTGAAATGATAAGACGTACACCATAAGATATTTATTTTGAAATAAGCCCAGGGGGATAAAACAATGTAGGTGTATGTAGGGGATAATTAGAGTACAAACAAATAGCATTTGTTAGCTTCTTTTTGACTAACCTGCCATAGATATGGATGGGCTTATTACTAGGCGTGGGCTTATTGACTGATAAGTACAGTAGTGTTAGTTCTTTTTGACAGGTTTTCAGATTTCACAGGTTTACTTTACTTATCAAATGGTACAGTGAGACAATTGCTGTTGGCTATACAAAGATACTTTTTCATATGATGAAGCGAGTTCCATTAGGTCAATGAAATTTGAAATTTCTTACTAGGCTTGACTTCCATGATTATCAAGTGTTGAGTAGTACTCGCTGGGGATTGTATTTCAAGTGAAAAATTCAAAGGTCAAGATTTACCTTTACTTTGTATGAAAACTTTACTGACAATAATAGGAGTTTCCTAATGGCTAAATCTCCCTCCAGAATTACCTTTGCATACATAGCTGGTTGAGATTGCTTTCTCAAATCTGTAGAATTTCATGATTGTTATACATTAAAACATGTACACTTGTTGGTGGTAAATTGCATTCATACTGGTGATAAGCTTTGATACCAATTCAAATATCTGTGTGGTCAATATTCAAATATTCTTTTTTTGTGTTCCCAGGAATGTTTCCCACTATGCCCAGGCCCAGGCGGCCCCTGTGATGAACGGTGGAGGTGGAAGTCGGTTTGGGGGTGGAGAGAAATGTCCACGCTGTAATAAGACTGTCTACCACGCGGAGGAGGCACGTGCTAACGGCAAGAAGTGGCACAAACTCTGCCTCAAATGTGGTGAGTGAAAGGGGTTCACAAAAATATGAAAATGAAAATAAAGTGTTAGTATTCCAAACTGTGAACAGACTAATTCGCAGAGGAGGCAGTGTGCAAATTGCAAGAAATGGCAATTAATCAATTTTTGTCGTTTTTTGGCCAGAGAATGTTTTATACGAGCATCATATTAAATTGCATTCAGGAGATGTTTTGACGCTGCTTACTTTGTAGCTAAGTGTAATAAGATGTTGATTGCCTTGTAGCTTACTGTAATAAGATGTTAATTACTTTGTAGCTAACTGTAATAAGATGTTGATTGCCTTGTAGCATACTGTAATTAATGTTAATTACGTTGTAGCTTACAGTAATAAATATTGTTAACTTCGTAGCTAAGTGTAATAAAATGTTGATTGCCTTGTAGCTTACTGTTATAAGATGTTAATTACTTTGTAGCTAACTGTAATAAGATGTTAATTACTTTGTAGCTTACTGTAATAAGATGTTAATTACGTTGTAGCTTACTGTAATAAATATTGTTTACTTCGTAGCTAAGTGTGATAAGATGTTAATTACGTTGTAGCTTACTGTAATAAATATTGTTTACTTCGTAGCTAAGTGTAATAAGATGTTAGACAGCACCACCTGTACTGATCATGAAGGAGAGGCATACTGTAAGGCCTGTTATGGCCGCCTCTTTGGACCAAAAGGATACGGTTTTGCTGGCGGGGCATCAGGACTTTCCATGGATACTGGCAGAGCAGGGGAGATCACTACCGAGTAAGTGAATTTCAGCAGTATGAATTGAAAACCTGAATGGTTCAATATAGAAGTTGTACATTTTAAAAAACGGAAGATTGTTACCAAGATTATCTTAATAACATCTGCTGGAATAGTGTCTGTGAAATGAAAAGGCTTGTTACATCAATGAAGTGTGTTGATTTTTATGACTTCTAAATTCAATGTTTCCATTAATGATGGGCAACTGGTTTTAGATTTTAATCGATAATAGGTGTGTATGATTGGTGAATAAATTTATGGGACTGAACACAAACATAAAATTGATACACTGTTTCACAAATTTAACCTATTATACATTTCTATTTTTGGCAGCCAACTTTTTTTTAAGCATTAACATAAATTCATATAATTAAAATCAACAATGGCTTTCAATGCAAACTTTACATTGTAACACTTGAGTTCAGTAATAAACCTATTACATGTATATCAATTATGGAATATGTAATTGATAATTGGAATTTCTTGGACATAAGCCGGTAAAATTTGGTTCTAAATGTCACGAAGAGGTGTACATAATAGCAAAATATAGCACTGGGTGTCTGCAATCTGATTAAAATCATATCCTAAATTCTCTACGTATCCTAATGTGATACGTAGAGAATGTTGGATATGATTTTAATCAGATTGTGGGTGCCTGGTGTAACAAACAATATCATGACTTGTCTGGTTGAAGTTTTACAGGGAATACACATCGTAATACATGTTATATGTACTAAAAAATATTGAAGTAGGTAAGTGATGGAGTGTCGAAACAAAGGATTCCATAAATGTAAGTTTACAGGTTCTGATGACGGTTGACCTTAGCCATCTGATTTACGGAATCGTTGGTGTTGATGCTCCATCACTTACCTACTTGTATTTACCTTCCTTTAGTGGGGCTCTACTATAATATTTCGGTTTCCACCTCAGATTCCTCTGCCAGTACATCGACCAAACACTACCCACAGGACGTAGGATCATTTCGCCCAATAGTTGTGTACCAATACCTTCATTTATTTCTAAAAATTAGTTAGTTCTTGAGATGAAAATGACTTGATATTCTGTTCACTCAACAGAGCAAAAGGTATATTCCAGATTAAATGGTGGAAGGATTTTGTGATATTTACCAGGTATACATTAATACTTTCTGTATTTACAGGAATGTGTCACATCTGGCCATGGCACAGGCTGCCCCACTGATAGAGGGAAACAACCCAAAGCCCAAGTATGGAGGTACGGACATGTGTGGTCGCTGTGGCAAGCAGGTGTACTTTGCTGAGCAGGCCATTGGAGGGGGAAATGTAAGTGGTCTTGCTTGCTTCTGTATAAGTTGACCTATAGGTGTTCTTTTCTGAGCAGGTCATTGGAGGGGACATGTAAATGGTCCTGCATGCGTCTGTATAAGTTGACCTATATGTGTTCTTTTCTGAGCAGGTCATTGGATGGGATCGTGTAAGTGGTCCTGCTTGCTTCTGTATAAGTTGACCTATAGGTGTACTTTTCTGAGCAGGTCATTGGAGGGGATCATGATCATGCAGGCATCTGTATAAGTTGACCTATAGGTGTTCTTTTCTGAGCAGGCCATTGGAGGGGGAAATGTAAATGGTCTTACTTACTTCTGTATAAAAATGAGGTTATTATTTGACCTTCAGGTGTTCTTTGCCGAACACAATCTGTATTAGCAGCTTCAGCAAACTATTTACCAAGAAACTTTGATATATTTGAACTTCAGTATTTATGACTTGAATATCTGTCGTCAAGATGAATTACACTTCATGACAGAAGGCAAAATTTAATTAGGGGAACCTTTCTGATATACAATATTACCACTGGTTTAGACAATCTGGTTGTCTTCTGGCTTATGTGATGTATATTCAGGAACTGCGTAACTTAAATAAACAACTTTTGAAGACATATAGGTAGGTCCTTTGGTTTCTGTGCACTGTCTTTAGAAACAATGATCCTACATCTGTATAATCATTGTCTCCATAATTTTGCTTTAAAATGAAGGTTAACACTGAAGGGAAGGAAATTGTGGAAAAATTAAGCTGTCTAGCTTTGCCTGCTGGATGTCAGTATTTCTTCCTGTACCTGTTATTGTTTTGTGTTTCAGATCTACCACAAGGCCTGTTTTAAGTGCACTACGTGTGGGAAGAATCTCGACTCCACAACACTGACACAAAATGAAGGAAGTATCTTCTGTAAAGGTTTGTATAGTATTGTTAAGAAATGTGTTGGCATTGCAATGACCGAAACAAAACATCACTCATGAAATTTGAGGAAGTAAAAACCTAGATCAGGGCCAGTATTCAGGAGACGGTTTAATGCTCAAACTCAGATTCTGTGTTCTAGTCCAATTTCTTTTTCCATCAACATATAAATGAAAAATCACATTTCATCAATGATTTGAAAGAATTTTAATTTTAAAAGTTCCTTTTTGATGTTTTGTCAGTGTCACCTGATTTAAGAAAGTTACAAGAAAATAAGTTAAAACACATGAGCACAGAATTCATGCTAGAGCACGAGAACGGTTTCATGAATACAGGACCAGATGTTAAAAAACCCATCGAAAACTACACCATAAATGTCTTGAATATTGCAATGTCGTTCACGACAATTGTTGCATCATCATAGATTATTAATAATGCACTGTTAACAAGACACAAGTTAAAGTCATTGTTCTTTTTTACAATGTATTTGATTTCAATTAATGAGTTCTAAAATATTTTGTTTGACAGCTTGCTATGGGAAACATTTTGGACCAAAGGGATTTGGGTTTGGCCAGGCACTTCAACACACTGCCTAGATATACTAAGACAGATTTCCTGTAACCCATTTTGGGGACCAACTCGGGGACCAGCAACAGACTACAAAACCAGATTTCACACCTCCCAGACAAACCCATTGTTATTAAGAAAATACTCATTTAAAAGTGTTCCTCAGCTATCAGTTTTTGCTAAATTTTCTGCAAGTAAAAAATGTACTGTATTTTGAGAGAGGAAATTGAAGATTTTGAAGATCAGCCACCAAGTTTTTAGTTGATTGTTACATAACTCAAAATATCTTTTTAGTTGGTTCAATTCTGGCTTGTTTTCGTAAAAAAAACACTACTTGAATTGTATTTTTACAATTTATTTAAAACTTATATGTATTTGTTAACTGACCAATCAAATCTTTTGCAATTTTTCTGTACTTTTTTGCAGAAATTATACTTACAGAGATGACATAAATGGTGTTTTATATTATTTTTTATGTCGCTTGTTTATAGTAGAGAACCTGGTCCACTCTGCCAATATATATAAGATAACTTTTATTTGACACAATGTCAGCAACATTATTAAGATGACATTTTAGAAACAACTTTCATCACAAATACATTGAGCTGCAAGAGGACACATTATTGTTCATGTATTCTTGTATCAAGATTATTTCTATTATGAAGAAATGTTATAAACACAATAATATAGATAGAGTGGAATTTTGTTAGCCCAGAAACTTTAATCTTTAATTAAAAAAAAAACATCGAAATAATGAATAATGGAGAAATCATAGAAACATCAATATCAAATTAGATACTGGACTATTGCTGAACATCTTAAATATTGTTTTATGGATACTAGTATGCAGATATCAATGTAACAGAGCGCATGATTAATTAAATATAAATCACTGCCTCCGCACGGGACCTCTGGCTTACCAGTCTTAGGCTCAACCGATCGAGCTAAAGAGAAGTTCTCTATAGCCGAGCATTATATTTCGACTAGTATTTACCAGGGTTACATACTCCCCTTCCAGGAAAGAACTCGTCCCGAGTTTTCCAGGGGTCATAGCGATTCCTTTGCAAGTACCGCCAAGTGTTTTTGTCATATCTCCTGAGTCCCTACCTGGGTGCCAATGTAACAGAGCGCATGATTAATTAAATATATATCAATGCCTCCGCACGGGATCGAACCCGGGACCTCTGGCTAACTAGTCTTACGCTCAACCGATTGAGCTAAAGAGAAGTTCTCTATAGCCGAGCGATATAGTGCTGCTAGTATTTACCAGGGTTACATCAAGAAAGTCAGCTTCCTGGACAGTCAGGGTTAGGATTAATGACATTCATCTAAATATTTATTAGTCCCCCACCAGTACTAGCAGAGGGGAATAAAGTTTGCTCTCTGTCCGTCAATCCATGTCACTTTGAGGCCTTTCTCATTTACTCTTCTTACCTATTGCCAAATTTTGTTGGCAAGAATACTGAGTATCTCTTTGGATGACAGCTGAGTGTCACATACTAACATAAGGTTTTGTGCCCCTGTATATACAGAGTTATGGCCCTTTGTTTGAAGTACTTTTCCTTGGGGGGGACTATGAATTGTTTGAAGTACTTTTCCTTGTTTGTAAACAGTGTACTTCCTGTTTAGTATCATATTTTACTTGTGATAAAACCCAGGGATTACTGGTTACAAATTTAACCCAATGCATGTATCTAATTGCATATAATCTCTAAATTAATGGTGGGCTTATTACCAAGCTTGGGCTTATCACTGGTAATGTAGAGTAAATTTATTGTTGTGTTTGGTAGAGTATTTGCATGTATTCATGTAGAGTATTTGTTCCTGTTATATTTACACTGTATTTTACCGGTCTTACACTGTATTTTACCGGTAGCATTTTTTAAAAATTATGTCAATTTCCTTTTAATATCATATGTACATTGAACATCAGTGTCTGGTAATCAGTATATTTCCTAGCATGATTTTCTGCATTTTTGTCTCTTGTTATTAGTTATATGAGGTAGGTCTGATAACGAATATACTTGGCAATTCTCTGCCAGAGCTATTTCAAAATTTATACTTTTACAGGGGTGGCATGTGAATTTATTAGATTCCTATGATCACTGAATATCAGATCAATAGATTACGTATCAATTTAAGCCTCAACCCCCACCTCTTCCCTCCTTTATATTGATATACTGAGAAATGTTCACTGAAGTTTAACATAAGTCTAGTTTGTCCTCTGGATTTGAAGACAAATTTGTCATGACAGGAAACATTTGTACACTGCATACTTCATTTATACTAAGTAGGGGTGTCACAATATGCCAAGGGTGTATCACGATATATTGCAATACAGAATGAGTATATTGTGATTCGTATCCCGATACATTGTCATGGGAAAGATGTGCTCGATTTTATAATAAGTTGTTGTCAGAATATTATCAAACTTAATCATATATAATATGGATCACATAGATTTAAGACTTTTGTCAAACCAACCATCGATTACAATATTTGAACTCATTCCCACCACTATGAAAAGCCTGTTTTATGCTTATTGACATATATGTTAGAATTTGGAGTAATTTGCAAAGTTAAATTACCAAGCAGAATGAGATACATAAAAAGAAGCTTTTAAAGAAATATTGCGATACAGCAATATTTCATCTCTGTATTGTGGTACAATACGATATACCTGTTTTCCGATATATTGTCACAGCCCTAATACTAAGGGCTGTTCAAGAATTAGCCATAGGGGACGGGTTGGTGCACTATTTAGAGACCCCACCATCCATGAAATCTTATAAGTTATTTCACCCCTATGTAACTTAAGTAAACTTTACCATGCATTGATCTGGATGAGTCTTTTGTGGCCTAAAGTGGTGAAAGGGTTAATATAAGGAATCTCAGGTAGATCTGGTTTTAACTGCACCACACATTATATGTTATACATGTGCCTCCCATCTCCCCCATTTGATTAATTACAGCGAAGCCCTTATTACATGTGAAAGGTGAAATATACACTGGGTAATGTGGATTTTACCAGTGAAGGGCAAATATGTGACAAGGTGAAAGTTTCCCAGTAGACAGTAGTTTATTCTGGAATAGTTCTAACCAGAGTCGCAACAATGATATTCTGTTTATTTCGTTTGTTAATTATACCTCAATGAACTACATGGGCACCAAATTATAATAATTTGGATTGCCATGATTTTGTAATATATATCTATTTTAGTCGCCTTACACCAAAGCTTTTTCCACAGATTTGTTGTTAACTACTTTTAACAATTTCGTGAATTCTAAAGTATAAAATCATGCCAATGTTTACTTACTTTATTTCTTAACGAATCTGTCAAATTTTAAAACATCAAAATCTGTTTTAATTTTTTTTCACTTTTTTTTTATAAAAATATGTACACTGTCATTCTTTTTTTTTTAAATATTTTCTTACATTTATTGCTTTGATAAGAGTAATTGGCATTTTGTTAAAGCTTCATCCATCATATTTAAAGATTGAACAGAATTAAATGAAAATACAATATTCATGTATATCAAATATTAAACGTAAGAATGCCATAACACTTCCATATTAATAATAATAATTCAAACAAACTTAAGTATTCATGCCATTGTGCAATCTTTTGCATATACAGTGTACATTGTTTCAGTTACCACTTCATATAAACATCATTTCAGAAACATCTAAAATAATATTTATTGTTTCAATCAATGCTAAACTTATCTACAGTTTTTCCGTTATCTATAAAAAAAAAAGGGTAATTGCTAAACCGAGAAAGTTTAAAATATGTACCCGAGTTTAAACTTTCACCATACAGTTAAGTTTATGAAAAATGCTAATATTTAAGGGATGCTTGTTGCGTGTATAAGTTAATGTCGTTCAATGTATTTCCAACATACTTTTTGTTAATGTTGCTCACGTTATGTGTACAGAATCTAATATTTCATACATTATGTTGAGTGAACCGATTGTGTAAACGGAAATGAGATGATGGTAAAGGTATATTTAACATGTTGCAATGGATACGGGTCCATTGGACCTTTTGTTATAATATGTATTGTCTGTGATGAGATATGTTGACCTTGTTAGCTTCTCTTTGATTGGATAAGCCTATATGTTGGTTCCGACCGATTTAGTATTGACCTGACAAATCTACCTGGTTTTGTCTTTGTAATCTAATGATTCCACTCTCAATGCAATATTTCATTTCAAAATCGAAGCCTCACAGTTAGCTATTTGATTGGTTTAAGGTAATAAAACCTAGCCAATTGCTTGGTTGATAATTGTCTTTTGAAGATTATAGAGGAGAGATACCTGACTCCACAATTCCGGTCCATTTTACAGTTACGCTGCTGCACAATTCTTTTGATGTACATCAAAGGATCAAGCTGGTTTATAAGGTAGTGTGTGTACACAGAGCCTCTTATTTTATCTGGACATATTCCAAGGGTGTAGAGAGGATACGTTTCGAGAGCGTAACCATTGGATTACAAAAATGACTTGAGTATATGATGGCCTGGTTCGGACTAAGCAAAATGTTATTAGCATATGGTAGGCTCTAGGGGCCTACAAAGCATGTATTTTACTATTAGACCTTTCTGAGGATGGTTTGGCATATTTTAAAAGTGTATAAAAAGCTAAATAGGCCTAATCTTACCCATGATGCCTTTGTGGGGCTGTGTTGGGCCACTGTAATGGTCATATTTTCAAGAGGATATTGCAAGAATTTCAGCCTTCGGAAATAAAGGCATTTACAGTAATATGATCTGGAGAGCTAAGTAATGGCCTACCAATCCTACACTGCCATTTCTAACCTCATTGAGAGTTGACCTGTTGAGTTTTGTTGATGTTTGGCCTCTGTTGGCCTGGTTTTGTTGGGTCAGATAGACTAATGTTACTGTAGTGCCTTTGGTCTTTGTTATGTCAAAACCTTCTATTTTGTCAAAAAATTGTAAAATAAGATATTGATATAATGGGAAAAAAATAGGTGTAATGTAACTATGGTAGATGTGATGGAGTAATATTTTTTGTTGTATTTTTTGGTTACCTGGTATTATTTTTCATATGACAATACATTTTTAAGAATTTTCTACCTGGAATTAAATTTTAATGATAAATCTTTGCTGAACATTTTTGATTAAGTCGGTAGAAAAGAGCAATATAATTTCATAAAAGAAAAATGTGTTCCAACACATTAAATGGTAATCTGTTGTATTTTAAGTCTTTAGCAAGTCTTTTTCTTTATCTCTTATATCAATTAGAATGTTAGGTATAAGACAGGAAATCTCATATGTACAATGTATATTATATGTATTTCTTTCACCCCTAGGAACTTTAGTAGACTTTACCATACATTTTTCTGGATGAGTCCATTATGATCTACAGTGGTGAAAGGGTAAAAGTTTGGTCTATGACAGGGTTTTGTTATATAACCCCTTCTGGTATATATATATATATATATATATATTGACTATAAAGGGCTATTTTATTTGTGAAACATATTAAGCTGAATAATTGGTTTACGACATATATGGCTCCTGTTTTCTTGCTTTTACATTTTACAAATGCATTGTATAGTCTACTTGAATTAGTGGTGAATATCCTCTGCCATATTGGATAAGTTAAAGTGATCGATATTTTAAAGCCATAGAAATCTTGACAACTTCATGAAATCACATTAATGCTCCGCTCTAGATCTGTTCACCAATTTGAATTTACCAAGAGAAAACCTAACTTAAGGATGGGAAATTGTAACCTTTAATACAAACAAGTTTGGAGTTCATGTGAGGAATTGGATTACAGATTGGAGGATAAGTTCTGATTTTAATCAGATGGGTTTACATTTTTATTCTAAGTCAACACATATGTATTATGGCATATATTATCTAAAGCAAGTATTTTAAGATGCTTTTGAAGATTTACTT